ATATAGATATATACTACGTTTCAGTCTTTTTAGTGTTAAAAATTAATGGAAGAATCGAATTATGTTGGGAATTTTATAGTCGGTGTTAATCGGATCGATCGTTCCGAAAATTCTTAATTTTTTTGCAGCCTCTAATTTTTCACAAGTTCCCTCTTAAACTCTTTCGCACTGTCTTCCCGCTGCATGGAACTTTCGAAATGAGTCCCGACGGGCTTTCCCACCGCGACCCAATTTCCCGGCTTCGAAGACACTTTTATCGACAGCCCCAAGGAGCCACCCTTCCTGCAGCTTTTTTTTTTTTTTCTTTTCTTTCCTACCTTTTCTGCGAGCGTAGCTCGGTTTTCAAGCGGCGATCACCGGAATTGGAACAGTCGAATTAGCCTACACGTGGTAATCGAACTGGGTCTGTTTGGCGTCGCAATTCGGACGAGCGTGTAAAGTCGAGCGAATTATCGTTTCGATCGAATTATCGCGCTAACGAGGAACCAATCTTTCTTGTCCACGTTTATTTTATTCATTCGTTTTAGTACACTCGTCCAGTGACGCTCAAACGATCCCCGTTCCCATCCGACGTTCTCTTCTTTTTTTGATAAAAATTACAAGAGTGACGAGTCGTTAATTAAAATAAAACGGGCAAGTAGATGACGAATGATCTCGAGAAAGGCAGTAAAAAAAAAAGAAAAAAAAAAATGGAACTACGACGCTCGTTCCATTTAATTATCAATTGAAAGCATTTCCTTAATTTATTCAATTCGTCGGTTCTTCCTTTTTTTCTAGGAAATTGCGGACACTCGCCAAGTTTCCGAGCTGTATTTTACGAGGAAACGACGGCCGCTGTAAAAACTTTCTACTTACGCAACCCGAAAGACTTTCTCCAAAAACGCAAGTGCGACAACTTTCGAACGCCGTCGTCGACGTCGTTGCGCCAAGTAATAGTTAATGTAAAACAGGATCAGGTCGACGCTTCTCGGTGACCCACGGGTCGTTTCCGAGGTATTTTATTAACGGGGGAATTGGCGACGCGCCGCGCCGAAAATCGAGGATTTCAATACGCAAAAGCAAAATGTCAACCGCGGCCGATAGCGGTGGCAGCAATTAGCACCGTGGCTCCTTACGGTCGTTCGACCGTCGGCAGCCGTTAATTGTTCGGCAAACAGAACGCCGAGGCGAGGCAGCAGTCAGGCTCCCTACTAATGAACTTGACAATGGCCGGGCACTGCTCTTGAAATGCAATAATAACGGTCGTTTGACACGGGCCCCGGGTGTCATTCGTCGGTAGGACGTCACCGAGGCGCTAGTGGGCCAAAACCCCGGGTGAGTAAACCGATCTCCGTGTGTACGATTTTTTTTACGCATACCGAATTTTTACGATCTCGACTATGTTCGACGATGAGTTTGTTCAACACGCGCGCGAAACGAAACGTTTTAACTGTGTTTTGTGAGCTCACTGGGATAGAGATTGTTGCCCGGCTATTTTAAGACCGTTGTGGATCCAGCTTGTTTTAATGGCGACCGTGGAAAGGAAGATGAATGAGAATTACGTTCTGCTCTCTCTAATGTCACGGTGCACGTGCTACTCCCGGGAAATGTGATACTACGTTCTTCGTTTCATCGTCTGTCTCCCGGTTCGAACGCTCCGTTGCTCACCGAAAGATCAAATCAAATTCACGTCACATATTTATGTACAACGTAATTGTGTATCTGTTTTTTTTTTTTATTAATATTTCTAAATTTTTGTATTAACTCTTAACCCCTTGAACGACAATTTATTTTCAGTCAGCACTTGAAAAAGAGGAAAGTTTATGACGAGCTGGACTCGTCATTTCCGTTCAAGGGGTTAACGCACCGACTTTTAATTGTGAATATCGGCTTGCAAGTTCTTAACACATTGCTGACCGGTCACAAGTTAACTCGTGATAAGCTTTTTTCTGCATCTTTATTGTTTTCACGGCGAAATCTTGTAGTGTAATTATTTGGTCTGCATACCTCAAGTTGTGTCTCGCTTATAAGACCG